CTATCTCTTTGTAAAAATTCGTTGGAGCACTAACAATTCCTTCCCAGATCCTCTCTTAGTGTAGCATACCCCTTCCAGAGCTTACGGCGGTTAATCTGTCTTTTTCTCAAGCGTCGTTGTGAGGATGGTAAGGGTGCCGCTGTCCTGTTCTTCTCGGTTCACCGCTAATTTAGTATTCTCTCTCCCTTGTTTCTTCCCACACTGTCTCTAGCTAAGCCTCATAACAGACATACCGATACACCGATACACTTCCCTTTTGCAGCCCACCGCTACAGCGAATAGGTTGACGGACGTGCGAAGCCACAAAGCCACTTGAAAGGAAGCCAACAAGCGACTGTTATCATCAGGTCAAGAGGTCTTTTGCTTTTGAGGTGAGCCCCAGAAGCAATCCATCACTTCACGATGGACCCAATCGCGAGGCATGCGGGCATCCCTCGCCCGTACGGCGTCGAGGAAGCGGATCGGCAGCTCGACCCCGCCTTCAGTACCACCGAGGACGACGCCGGAATTCCCCTCCACCCAAACGCGAAGCGCCTCTTCGATTACGCACCGGCGCTACGCCGCATTCCCATCTTCGGCGAGGCCTGCGCGGCATACGGGCCCGCGTGCGTCATCAGCCTCGCTCTCACCTACGTATTCTGCAAAGGCTTCTCGGGTGGATTTATTGGAGGCTCCGTCTTCCCTATCTTTGTCAACGTTTACAAAGTGGAAGCAGCCCGCTACCAGCGGGTCTCAGGAGTTATGGGGCTTGCTTTTGCTATCAAGGCTTTCACCGCTGTGATATGCGATACATTCGCCCTCTTCGGTTACACCAAGCGCTGGTACATGTTTGGCTCGTGCGTGTTGTGCGGTGTCTTCGCAGTGCTCTACGGCCTGCTGCCAGCCAATCCGTCGTCCGCTGATTGTGCTGCCGGTTTTGTCTTACTGTGTAACTATGGTATGGCCACTGTGGACCTTCTTTCCGAAGGCTTTTACAGCCGTCTGATACGTAAGATCCCCGAGTCTGGGCCGTCACTGGTGAGCTGGGTCTGGTGGTTTATATCATGTGGAGGTACTTTGAGCACTATGGCCATGGGCCCGTTATCGGATCTTAATATGCCGCAAGTCGGTGTGTTCATCGCCGCTGGGCTTCAGTTCCTTGCATCTTTTATCCACCTTTTCAATCTGTACGGCGAGAAGATAAACCGTGAGGAGCGCATTGAGGACGCACATATTATGCATAAGGAGCTACTCCGGAAGCTCGAGAAGGGGAAAGCCCTATCCCGCAAGGAGGGGAGGGAAGGCAGTCTCGATGTGGATCAGGGAAAGGCTCTACAGCTGGAGCAGATCGGCTACGACGAGACACTGGCGTTGGCTGATGATCTGCCCACGAGCCATACCTACATAAATCAGCAACAGGCGCAGAAGCTGAAGGAACATGCAGGCACATACCAAGACGAGGAGAGCCCAGAGCTTCTGCTGCCGCAGCCGATCATCTGTTGCCGTGGACTTATCGAGATCAACAAGGAGGTCGTCATGCGGAATAACAGGCTTGTTGCATACTGTTTTGTCATGACAGCCGCTGTCATAACTATGGCTTTCGGTAACGTCTATGCAAATACGCTATGGTTGCTTATTATCTGCGTAACGGTGTCTTTTGTGTGCTCCGTGATGTCCTTCTGGTCACTGCCATATGTTATTGCAAGGGTTAATGTGTATAATTATTTAGGTTCTACAGTCTGCATAAGTCTACCTGGAATCAGCAAGTTCTACATCGCTGGTCCCGATTGTGTGCCTGGTGGGCCGCACTTCTCTTTGACTTTCATGTACACTGTATGCACAGTCATTTCTACCGTGTCGAGTTTAACCGGTATTTTGGTGTTCCACCGCTTTTTCTCAAGGACCAACTACCGCAAAATCATGATCATTACCACGGTCGTACTCACACCTTTTGTGTTGCCCGAGATCTTCATGCTCAAGCGTTGGAATATACAGATGGGCATTCCCGATCACTTCTTTTATATCGGTACCAGCACTATAATTTCGCCACTGATAGGCATGGTTGCATGGATGCCATCGATACTACTGCTGTCGCGTCTGTGCCAGCGAGGCTCCGAGAGCATGATGTATGCGCTCCTAGCCAGCTTAATCAACTTCTCCAACACCACCAGCAGCTCGTTAGGTGCCATCCTGATGGAGTATGTGTGGCCCATCCATAGTAATCCGCCGTGCGACTTCAGTAACGCCGTGAAGCTCGTCATCGTTGGTCACCTTATCCTGCCGCTTCTGATTATCCCGATGACCCTGTTGCTGCCAAACGTCCGTGTGTCTGATGACATCGACGCTGATGGCAACGTGATATCGAAAACGACACAAGAAGAGCCTCACGTGAAATCTCCCAAGGACAT